CGAGTACTTGCAGGCACGCACGCACCAGTGACGGTCAGGTCCTCGACCAATCATGACTGTCCAATTCGGCCAATCATGTTCAAGGCCGATGCGCTCTGACAATCCAGGCACTCTGGCATATTTGGGACGCTGCTCTCGTGGTGTCGAACGTGTGTCTTCATCCGGCTGCCAACTTCTTACAACCTCCTCTCTAGTAGTTCTGTACAGAAGACAACATTATCTCAACTGGCATCCCACTTCTTTCCTCCCTATTTCGGATCGCACCTGAAGGTCCTAGCGGCTAAGGTCTCCCCATACCTCAGACTGCCGTGACAAGGAAAAGGTGACAACAAGGTAGTCCATACCAAGAAGGATAAAAGAACGCACTAAACATTTTTTTCCTACGTTGTGTCTTTTTGGAATATCCTCGTTGATGCCATGGTGGCTGTTGGATGGTCCATTCTGAATACTGTCGGTTGGCCTCGTGATGACGGCCTCTGTGGAATAAGAAACAGGGGAAAACGGAAGTCTGTTGATGAGGTCGAAACGTTTGCAACGGAAAAGTATTACTTAACGGCATATCGCGCCGTACCCTATGCCCGCACGTCGATGACACGATCTATCTGGAGCAAGGGATAGAAGAGAACTGCTTTGCAGACAACAGACCAAGAGTCGACCTGTATTAACGACAAGCCATTCGAAACAATAAACACAAAGTCATAGAGCCTGACAGATTTGAGTATTTATCAAAAGGGTTTCATTGTCCTTTGGGCCCAACTTCATTCGAATGTAAATTGTGAGCATATTCGTTCAGTGCGTAAATGGCTCTTTAATATAATTTCCACTATATGCAAGTTGTTCTTAGCCTTACAAGACCCCTCTTTAATGCCAAAATATCCAGCCGTCAAAACCATACCAGACACATTCTTTTCAGAAGCCGATTCTTTCCGAAAATTGCCACTAAATAGACAGAAGTCAAAGCACGCAAACCAGACTTGTTCCCAAGATGTGGGTCCATACACGACAGGTGTTGTTTCACAGCTTGAAGTGGACTGCAAACAGTTTCGCTTGGCCAAGTTATACATCATAGCTTGTAGGTTGCAATTGCAAAGTACACGTGCACACCGTTATCTTAAGCATCAATAAGAAGTATGTACGAA